CCTCTGCCCCAGGAGCCCTGCACCGTCCCCGCACATCCCAGCAGCTCCACAGTGGCCCAGCCCCAAAACCTGGCCAAGCTCCCTGCACGGGGCCAGCAGCACCCACACACCTCGGCGTAGCGCTGGGTCCCATGGCAGGACACAGCAGAGGTGACGGGGGCACCCAGTAAGGGACAAGAGGGGCGGTGGGGACGGGACTGGGGGGGAGAGGGCAGGCGGCAGGGTGGGCACCTGGCTGGGACGTGGAGGGGCGATGGGAAAGCTGCCACCACCGAGGGTTGCAAAAGGGACGAGGGACCCTGTGGCCTTTCCCGAAATAGAACAATTTTCCCCAATTGCCACACGCCGCAGGGACACGGGGGGACGGGCTGTTGCCCCGGCCATAGCCTCTGCCCTGGGATGGGGGCAGTGGGGGGGTGGCCCTGTCTGCACACCCCCCACGGGCAGCAATGGCTCCGTGCCGCTGCCACGGGAGTTTCACATCGTGGTGTCAGGTCCCCGAACACATCCCTGCCCGGCTGGGGGAAAGCCATGGGGAAGGGGATGTTTTTGGAGACCCCCATGGCTGAGCACCAGCTGGCTCCTCTGTCCCAGGCCCCCACATGGGACCCCACATTGCAGCACATCCCCAGTGGAATTTTTCCATACGTCTGCAGAAGAGGGTTGCTCAACGTCGGCGGAGGGTTCACGTCCCGAGCGCGTGGCAGCAAGGAGGGGGGAGAGGCAACGGCCCCCCCGGCAGCACTGCTGCCCGCACCGAGGGGCAGGATCTGGCCCCACGCTCCTGGAATGGAGGTGTCGGGGGCTGGGGATGGGGCAGGACAGGAGAGGAGAGGTCCCCGTCCCCTCCGCTCCCGTCCGCCCCGCAGCACCCGGCGCGGGGACGCAGCAGGACCCCGTCCAGCTCGGGCCAAGGCCACGGGAGGCCGGACCGGGACGGACGGCAGAGAGCCAGGGCCACGGCGTGGCCGAGCCCCAGCTGGGCTGGAGCCAAGCCCGGCCCCACGGCCGTCCAGCCCGGCTCCAGGCTGGCAGGAGAGGACAGCGGAGGAGGGACGTGCCCCGGTCCCGCATAAAAAGCCCTCGGCGGGGACGGGGAGCAGGCGGCACCCCAAGAAGGGAGCAGAGCGGCGCTGCCGGAGCCGCGGGAGCGGGGCCATGGAGCAGTACTTCTCGGCCACCCAGAAGATGGAGCAGGAGGTGATGTTCCCCAGCCTGCTCCGAGGGGTCTTCCCGCAGCAGGAGGGGGCGGCCCCGGCCACGGGCGGCCGCGCGGACCTCTACGAGCGCTACCAGCTCCTCAAGGCCATCAAGCCCGTGGTGGAGAAAGGGCTGGCCTCCGTCACCGACCAGAGCCCCACCGCTGCCGACGCCGACGCCGACGCCGCCGCCGACGCCGTGGACGCCCAGCTGGAGGAGCGCCTGTCCCACCACCTGGCCGGCTTGCAGCAGGTCCTCACCCACCTCACCAGGGACACCAACGCCCTGACCCGGCGGTACAGCCAGATCCTGGAGCAGATCAGCCCCAGCGAGGGGCAGCCCAGCTGGTGACCCTGCCCCAGACGACAGGTAAGAGCTGGGGGGACGCGGAGCCCAGGACCACGGGGCGAGGGGTGGCCGATGTCCCCGGAGAGGTCCACCGCTCCGCAGGGGTGGGGATCTACCGGGGAGCGCCTTGAAATCCGGTGCCGCAGATCGCCGTCTCTATGCCGAAGGAGAGGACTTGTCCCATCCCTCCGTGCACAGGCTCCGGGGATTCCGGGTCTGCGCCCCCGGGCTGGTGGAGCGGGTATCTCCCGGGGATGGCCCTCGGGGTTAAGGACAGCCGCTGTTGCAGGACGAGCGCTGGCGGCATGAAGGAGAGACGTCCCCGTCGCCGACCGTCGACCATCGCGGGCTCTCCCCCGGCCCCGCTCGCCCTCCCCGCGCCGCGGCAGCTCATCTCCCAGCGCCGGCACCGCACGCCGGCGACGGCCGCGACCGCCCGAGAACCAGCCGGTGCCGTATCCTCGTAGGAAGAAGCATCTGGTGGTGCTGGGAGGTCCGCTGGGAGAGTCGCAGGCTCGTGCCCTCCTCTTTATTTTCAAAGAGCGGCACGAAGGCGGTGGCCCCGACCTCCGGCGGTCCCCTGCGGCTGCCGAGCCCTTTTCCAGCTGGTACCTGGACTCCGAGGGGTGTTTCCCCACTCTTTGCTAATAAAACGAGCGCTGTAAACCATTGTCAGTGTGGTGCTTTCTGCCGGCTGGAGGCCTTGGAGAGTGCCCCGGCATGGGGCAGGGGTACACGGGCTCGGCTGGGAGGGGACTTTCCAGTGCAATGATGGGGAACTTGAAGGGACAACGAGTCACAGGGTGGTTTGGGCTGGAAGGGACCTTCTGAGACCGTCTGGGCCAGCCCCCTGCCACGGGCAGGGACACCTTCCACTAGACCAGCTTGCTCAAAGCCCCGTCCAAGCTGAACTTGAACAGTGCCAGGGATGGGGAATGTACAACTTCTCTGGGCAACCTGTGCCAGCGCCTCACCACCCTCAGAGCGAAGAAACTTATTCTTGAAGCCTGCTGCTGTGTACCCAGCAGGGAGGGTGGGAGACATTGACCCGTGCTAGAGACAGTCACCAGGCTCAGGATTCTCTTCAAAGCTCTCCCCCGGGTTGTCCCACCACTGCTGGTGCTGCCCCGTGCCCCACAGCTCCCCGTGCCTTTCTCCTGCCCGTCAGGGGTTTCTGCCCTGGAGCTGCCCCAAGCGGGTCTGAGCCTGGGGACTGTCCCCAGGGGCCAGCAGAGCTGCAGGTCTCAGCGCCTATGGAAAGCAGCTGCCCCCGGGACCCCAGCCCCATGTCCAGACACAAATCTTGGGGTTACGGTGGAGGGTCCCATCTCCTCTCACTCCTTCAGGCCATTTCTCCTGGCTGTTGAGATCACGCTGGCTTCAGCTTGTCCTCCCCGAGCACGGGCAGCAGGGACGGGGTCTCCAGCCACCAGTGGCTGAGTGGCCAGCCAGGGGGCCAGGGGCTCTGGAGGGGTGTGCTGGGGCTGGATCCAGAGCCGCCTCACATCTGAAATTGTCCCAGTCAGGTTGAAGCGAGGACAAGAGCAGTCCTGGGGGGCTCGGAGGACTCGGAGGCATGGGAGATCTGACAGCAAGAGGTGCTGGGGACAACATGGGGACACTCGGAGACACGCGTGGTGGCATTTTCCCCCCTCCCAAGCTGTGGCTGGGGACGTGCTCCCCAAGAGGATGGTGGGTCAGCGGGGAGGCTTGCCCAAACACCACGTCTGTGGCCACAGAGACCCAAGGAGCTCGTTGCACCACGGCCCAAAAGCCTTGCTTTTCTGTGAAAGCAGCTGCCGAGCACCAAGTCCCCCAAAACGTGGGGAAACACAAGTGCCTCAGCCAGCGTGAGGACTTCAGAGCAGATCTGCCCTCCGTGTCCCTCCTCAGCCTGGGCAAAGTTGAAGTCTTGTCTTATCCAGAGAAAAGGGAGCACCAGGGCGATACTGGGAGAGACCGAGGCCATCCCCAGTGCAAAGCCACCTCCAGCTGCGGAGCGACGGTTCGTGCTGCAGCAGAAGTGGAGCTGGAAGATGGAACTGGGGACTCCAGAAGACCTCTGAAGCTCCTCTGCCTCCATGCTGGTGGCAGAGCCGGGTATTGAACCGTGAGGAATGGAGGGACGTCGGTTCCCGGTGAGGTGAGGACCACAGAGCAGGTGATGTTGAACTTGACTGATGGGAGACGTTCCCAGAAAAGGTCTGTGGCGTGACACACCTGAAAGGACATGCTGACGACTGACGGTCCGCTTGCAATCCCCCAGCACCCCCAGGCCCCACTCTGCGAGCTCCTGTCTGTCCAGCCGGCCCCGACCCCGCCATCTCGTAGAAAACTTCTGCCTGCTCCGATTGCAGGGTATTGCATCACGCTGTCCCGGGGATGCGTCAAGCCCTGACGGTGCCCTGCTGCTGGCCACCGCTGTTGGACAGGGCTGATAAGGAAGGTGAGATCATCATGGAAAAGGTCTTTGTCCTTAAAAAAACGCAGCGCGGGTCCCCGGCAGGACGAGGGCAGATGGGGCAGATCCAGCCCTCTCCAGCGTGGCAGGGGGATGCTGGCTCTGCGCTGCCCTGGAAAGGCTCCCAGGGCACCGGCACCGCTGCCAGCCACCATGGGGAAACAAACTTCTCCATTCACATCCTTGGAGCAGGTCCAGATTGCGGCAGGTTATTTATATCTGCCTAATGACATCCAGTTAAGCAGAAAGCGGTGACCTGGGCACCCAGGCTCGGTATCGGGAAGACAGGAGGCGAAGCGTGGTTTTGACCCGAAACGTTACACACGTAAGGAATCCCAAATACCCTTCTCTACCCAGTCCCAAGAGGTCCCCCACCGCCCCCAAGGACGGGTGGGCTGCCAGCACGCCCGCCCCTCCCGGGAGGGCAGGTTCCCTGCCTGCACACCCCTGCCTTTGGATTCGGGGGGCTCTGGCCTCAGCTGTACCCCCTGCCGCTGCCTATTGCCCGCTCGGGTGGGTGCCGGGGGAAAAGCACCCCACGAATTCGCACCCGCGCCCCCCAGGCCTGGCTCCCTGGGTGGCCAGGGTGGCCACGAGCCAGCACGGCGTCCTCAGGGCAAAGACGGCCACCGACCTCCCGGGAGGAGGAGGAGGGAGGGGATCCTTCCCCTCTGCTCTCTCCTGGTGGGACACATCCAGGTGCTGGGTCGGGTCCCAGCTCCCCAGTACAAGAGAGACATGGACACGCTGGAGAGAGTCCATGGAGGCCCATGAGGGTGATGAAGGAGCCGGAGCATCATCCGTACGAGGAGAGGCTGAGCGAGCTGGGACTGTTCGGCCCGGAGAAGAGAAGGCTCAGGGGGATCTTATCCACATGTCTGAAGACATGATGGGGCTGTGGAGAAGGTGGAGCCGGGCTCTTCCCAGTGGTGCCCAGAGACAGGACGAGAGGCGATGGGCACAAACTGAAGTCCAGGAGATCCCACCTGAACGTAAGAAAAACATTTAGTTTTTTATTTACTTACTTCCCCCTAAATCTGCGGGTGGTCAAAGACTGCCACCGGCTGCCCAGGGAGGTGGTGGAGTCTCCATCCTCGGAGATACCCAGAACCCAGCCGGACACGCTCCTGTCGCTGACCCTGCTTGAGCAGGGGCTGGACTCGGCCGTCCCCAGCGGTGCCTTCCAGCCTCCCCACCGCTGACTCTGGCTCTCTGCCCGCCTGGTGCCCCCCGTGCCGTCAGCCCAGGAGCTCTGGCTGCAGGCTGCTCGCAGCATCCCACCGGGAGGATGATCTGCCAGGCCTGGGCAGAGGTTGGGATGCCAGCAGGGCTGCTTTTGGCAGCGCCCGGTGGGCTTCGACTCCTGCCATTGCCCCTCCAAGGTCTCTCCCTCACGCTGGGAGCTTTCGTGCTTCCTTTCGGGCTGAGACCTTCTGGATTTTCAGAGTCCCTTCCGTAATTCCCTGGTCACTATTTAACCCAGCTGATGGTCACCTTCCTCCTTAACAGAACCAGCTTCGGGCTGGGATATCTTCCACTAAATCAGGGCGGTCAAAGCCCTGTCCAACCTGATCGTAACCAGTTCAAGGGATCCACAACCCCTCTGGGCAACGTGTTCCAGCGTCTTCCCGCCCTCACTGTAAAGACTGTCTTCCTTATGTCAACAGCAACGTAATCAAAAGCCGATCCCCATTTTCCGTGCAGAAAAACGTGTGGATCTGCTGAACGCACAGCCCAGACACGTGACCTGTGCAGGGGGACGCTCGTCCCTGTCCCCTCGAGCAGAGAGGAGGGCCCACGAGGGATGGGACAGAGCGAGGTGAGCCAGCGGCCACAGCAGCGGCCGCAAACGGAGCTCCGCTGGGTTTCACCAGCGGATCCAAGGAGCTCTTATGTTCTCCTGAAACATCACCTGGGAGCAGAATCAGTCCCTGGTGACAAGGCAAGGAGAGGGACCCAACCGTCCCATACCTCAGCGCGGCACCAGGCTGGAGGCAGGCGTGAGGCAACGGCACCCAGAGCACAGCGAGAGGTTTCCCCGAGGAAGAGGAGCTGGAGAGAGTGCTTTGAGACACCGCACAGAGCAGAAAGTCACACCAAGCGCACACGGGGAACGTGGCAGCGCAGGAGGAAACCAAGGCAGGTCCTGAAAAACAGTGCAGGGGACTGGGAATTTCATAAAAATCATTCGTAACTGGAGCAGCCTCAACTGCAAGTGTGTCAAGCTCCAGAGTTACTGAGCACCCTGCAGTGAAATTCAGAACTGCTGCAGATCCTCAGCGTGTCTGGAACACGTTTGGGTTCAGTATGTGGATTCAGGAGCTAACAACCAAGTGAGAAAGTAGAAAGGTTGAATCCTCACCCCCAGCAAAGAAAAAGTGACACGAGAATGCAAAATATAGAGAGGGAATTAATTAAGGAGAGCACCTATTTTCACTAGCGGGACAGAATTAATTTCACAGCAAGACTTCGGCTACAGTGTCTACAGGGGCTGGTCCAGAGCATGTTGAAGGGTTAGGAAAAACGTCAATGAGAAATAAAA